AACCCCCCTCTTCCTCACCGCCGCCCATTTTGCTGCTCTCCCCTTTCACGGTGCGCACCCTCGGGCCCTCCCGCCCACTGCGAGGGTCGTTCCTCGAACATGCAATGATCATTCAATCGAGCCCTATCACTGCGGCGGCTGCTCAGTCCTGGAACGCTTCACTGGGGCCGCCGGGGAACGCAGGTGGTCAGACAGCTCGAGCGCGGGCTGTGGCATGTACGACTTACGAATCCCACCAGCCCTCGAAGAGGCAGACGTACGCGGGCGGTTTTTGACACTCGCTGCGCCGCCCTCTTCCCGACACGGGACTCTGGGCCTGGGAGCCCAGGGCTGGGCGGGGCGCCTTTCCCCCGCGCCCAAGGGGGCCCGAGATCATAAGGGCCTAGGAAGCCCCGGCGGGCCTCACTCGGGATGGGAGACAGGACAAGAGATATATAGGATTGGCCCCGACGGGCCTTGCAGTAGCCCCATGGCTCCGGGACGCGAAACCCAAGACAGCCCCAGGACACAGGACTCAAGACCCAGGAATCCCAAGACTAACCAACACGGTTCCAAATGACCGCGGGGGCCCAACGAGATCCGAAGAGCCCAGCTTATTCATTATCGCCGCAACGCGCCTGGGCGCGGGCACCGCCTCTGGTTTCATTCTGGACGGGCTGGCAGGCAAGAAGGGTATATGGCCGCGCGAAGCGTCAAGGAGTATCGGCAGCCACTCTCCGCAAGGGCGCTTCCTCAAACGAGAACCCTTCACTGATTTCGTTGGCCAATCGTATCTAATGTCCACTGGGTCTGCGAACAAGTCGGCCTTCGGCGAAACCTCGACGTCGGCGCCGACCGTAGCCATGGCGCACGCCAATCTGTTCGCCGCTGTGTCCAAATCAAAATGGTGCAGCGCATCCGCTCTCATCGCAGTGACCCCTGAACTGCTTTGAAACCGAAATGGCTCTGGACCCCCATCAGGAAAACCTGGGGGGAGGACGACGGGCCCGTGGGCTAAGGGCTGGGAAGGCTCAGGTGCAAAGATTTCCAGATGGAACCCTAACGCCCTCGGTTAAGTCATGATCGTCCTCGGCGTCTCTGTCCACGTAAACGTCGTCGTCTGCCCCCGCCCCATGTCGGCCTGCGCATTCCACTAGTCCTCCCTCCCCCGTCAGCGGCGCCCTCCCCCAAGCGGGGTCGAAAGGCGAGGTGACGCGCGGTTCGACCGCCGCCCAGGGCGAATGCCCTCGACGGGACTCGTAAATCTCAAAATCCTGGAAGTTCACAGCGACTGAATACCGCACAGCACGGCGACCCGCGCCCTGACGCCTTCATTGAGTCTGGCTCGGTCTAGCTAGAAAGTCGAAAGCTTACTCGAGGGGCCCCCAAGTGCCGAGCGGCTGGAAGGGCCTGACGTCTCAGTCGCCCGATGGACAGGACGACGCCTGCACGAACAACAAAGACATACTCTTTCCAGTAATGGCAAGACTTTGGTGACTAAGTGCAGTACTACAGGGATTCTCTCGAAACGCGCAGGCAACGCGGGTTCGCGGGGATCCCAAGCCCGCGAGAGCTGCGGGGAGGGGGGGCGACGTTGCCGGGGCGGCTGCAACCCTAGACCTTCAAATTTGCCTGGAAGGATGTGCGCGGCATCTGTTTGCGCGGTGGGCGCGGGGCGAGGGCGGGAGGCGACCGCGCGAATTCTCACCGCTCACTGCGGCGCGCCCCTCACGCGGCTCGTGGCTCCATTAATGTAACCATTGGGGGCTCCACCGAATCGTCCAGCGTCGGTGACCGCGCGAGCTCTCACCTATCATTTTCGCAATACCCCTCGCACGTTTCGCGGCCGCATAGAACTAGCCGCTAAGCCGAAAGTGCAATTGGCAGTAAACGCATGAAGTCCAGCCATTCACTTCGGCGCAACCCTCGCATGTCATTTTTTTCGCGCCCCTCACACGTATCGCGGCTCCATAGTCAGGGTCTGGCGAAAAGGCCGACGGCCAGGAGGTGATCCAGTCAATGAGGGGATTGTACCGCGTCCATGTGTGTATGTATGCGCAATACGTGCGGTGTATATATTTATGGAATGTAACAAATATATGTATCCATAATCTGAAATATGTATCCAATATATGGTATATATGTATTTATTTATATTTATGAAATATGTGTATATATTTATTTGTGTTCTAAAATCCTGCTAATTTTAATGCTAATTATTGTTGTGGTTTTGATTTGAAATTGTTGCCTAATTCTAAAATGGTTTGGCATTTTGATTGGTATTTTTTTGAAGTTGTAAATGTTCGCCGAATTATGTTTGGGATTTTTCTGGTAATCCGAGGATGACCACCAAATGCGTAATGGCTGCCCTTAAACTTACCCGGGATGTTACGAATGACGACAAAACCGAAGACCCCACAACGGCCAAGCAATACCGTTACCCGTGCGAAATGAGTACTTGATGGGGCCGCGCAATCACGTGATTGTGGACACACACACCCAGGGGAAACAATGGAAGGCGTCTCCTATTACATGCCTTGGGATCCCCACAGGGAAGGCGGCACTAAACGGGATTCAGCTGTTTACGTCTAATCTACACCAACCATCGGCCACCTCAACCAGGGTAACGTCGCCACAGGTTACGGGCCATAATACCCAAATCAAGATCGAACACCACATGAATATACGCACGGAACCTACGAACTACCAGATCACCTGGACCTCCACCGCCATACTACGTTGATGGGTGGCTCGGTAGACTTGTTAGGCCACTGGGTCAGAGCGGTGCCCCGATTACCGCAAAAACAAAATCCAACGCCCTGGGCTCATCGTCCCCGATCTATCCGCACAACAAGCGTGAACTTGCAGAGACCATGGGCGGGCCGCCGAAGTGCGTAAGCGGCGAGCGTCCTTCCTGAGGTAGCTAGCCTACGAGTGGTATTCGAGCACAGCGCTTGCTTCCCAGAGCAACTCGCTACGAACACCCACATGCTGCTACACAGAATGCGGGTCGCGATCTGTATGCTGGACTACAACACGCCGTGACACAATACTCCGACCCAAACGCTGCCGACAAGGCCATGTCGTCTACCGCGCGACATGTACACCGTTACGTGCTAGGTACTACGTCGCATGTGGCACGGACGCTGTGAGTGGTACGGAAGCTCTCCCGATGCCCTCCCTTCGGGCCTCTTGAGCCTTAGGATTCTGGGATTGGCCGGACTGGGCGGGATACGACCGAAGGGCCGATCCTATACTGGGGTCCGTAGGTATCAGCTACTCCTTTTCCTGGGCGCTGCGCGGAGAGCAGCGCACTGTGTATGTGAATGCTCCCCCTCCTCCTCGAAACACGGAAACGACGCACCCCAGCGTGGGTGCGTCCCGCGGCCGCGCACGGCGGGCCCCCCCCCCCTCTGGGGCGCTGGCCAGCGCGCGGCCGCGGAGAGGGACCGCCGCGCGGCGCCGCGAGAGAGAGAGAGAGAGAGGGAGAGATAGGACGCGGAGAGCGGAGGGGGGAGGGGAGAGGACGGGGACGAAGCGGACGGGCAGGGGAGAGGAGAGGTGGGGGGCGGGGGTGGAAGAGAGAGCACCACGCCGCCCGAAGCGGGGCCGCCACAGCAGTCCGCCCCCCGCCAGCAGCAGCATCTGCCGCCCACCGCACACTCCACGACAGGTGGGCGGGGTCCTCCCTGGCGAGCTCCGAGCCAGCTGCCCCTCCCTCCTCCTCCTCCTCCTCCTCCTCCTCCTCCTCCTCCTCCTCCTCCTCCTCCTCCTCCTCCCCTCCTCCTCCTCCTCCTCCTCCTCCCCCTCCTCCTCCTCCTCCTCCTCCTCCTCCTCCTCCGTCCTCCTCCTCCTCCTTGCTCATCCTCTCCTCATTCGTTTCTCAAGGGCCTCAACGGCCCTGACCATGACTGGTCGTGGTGCGCAACTTCCAATTCCCCAAATGTGCCTCCAAACACCCCACTCCGAAGAGAATGATGAGATCTCTATTTCTACCCCGGGAGTCATCGTCAGTTACGGATACGTAAGGAGTGGGAATGAGGAGATGATGAGAAAACGGTCGGGAGAATCATTGAACCTGGACTCGGGAAAGGAGCGCCCAGCCCACCGCAATCGACGGAATCACATGGAGACTGAGGAGGGCAGGAGGAGCTTGAGACGACGTGGTACGCAGCTGCTTCTCCAAGCCCGCGATAACCACCGCAAATCTCAGAGATACGCCGACATTGACGAGGGCGACGGCGACAATGGGCGATGTGATATGCAGCTACTTCCCCAAGCTCGCGACCGCGAGACGCACCCCGCCGCAAACCTCAGAAACAAAAAAAACGTCGACATTGACGAGGGCGTCGACGACGAATGCTCTGGAGGACCTTGGCAGGCACCCGAAGGTCTGAACGAAGGCCAAAGCCCGCGGAAACCGCCCCGAGCCTCAGAACCAGAAGCGCCGACATCGACGACGGCGACTGCGACGACTGCTCTGGAAGGCCCCCGGGGGGCACCCGAAGGCCTCAGTGAATGCCAAAGCCCTCGAAGACCGGGCTTCCCGGGGACGTCGGCTACACGCAAGAGCGACCGTGGGTAAGAGTGGCCTTTGGTGCGCGGCTCTGTGGGGGGCCGCGAGGTGACTAAACACAGGCGCGCAAGACGCTACCATCACATAGCGTTCGGCCATCGGGGGACTCCAATTCGCCCGCACCAAAGGTCACTCCGGCGAAAGGTCACTCTTGTACGTCTAGCCGATGGGGGGGGGCACCCGGAGGCCTCAAAACGAAGGCGCGAGACGTTCCGGCGGCGAAGGCCAAGCCGGGCGGCGGGAGGAGGGCCCGGACCCCATCCTTCTGCGTCACTTTTCGAGCCGCATCGGAGCCCGGAGCCCGAAACTCGGCGACAACGCCCGGTGTGGAAAAATTGCACCGCCAGGATCTCAGAGCCGGAGGCCCCAAAACGCCGGCCCGAGGCGCTCCGCAGCCTGGGGCCCTAGAGGTGGCGAGGGCCGAGCCGGGCGGCGGGAGGCGCGCCAGGCAGGCCGCGGTCTGCCCGTACTCGTTGGCGCCGTCCGCCAGCGCGCCCGCGTCCAGCGCGGCCTCGGCGCTGGCGCCGGCGGAGGCAGAGCCAGCCGCCCGCCCTGCCCTCCTCCCTGCCTGCCTGGCTTCGCCCTGCCCCCATCCCTCCCTGCTCCCCCATCCCTCCCTCTTCCTCGTGGTCCTCCCGCCTGCCCCCTCGCAGTCTCCTCCTTCTCCTCCTCCTCCTCCTCCTCCTCCTCCTGCTCCTCCTCCTCCTCACTCCTCGTCCTCGTCCTCGTCCTCCTCCTCCTCCTCCTCCTCCTCCGCCTTTCGGCGGCGAGCCTGGGGGGGAAGCGAGGCGGGCGTTTTCCAAGCCTTCCCCGAAGACACAGAACATTTCTCAGAAGGCGCGAGGGCATCCGAGAAGCCCCGCCGCCTTCTGAGAAGGCCTTCTCCTTCTCACTTCCCCCCTCGCTCGCCGCCGATCCTTCTCATTATCGACTTCACCCTCTGCTCCTCACGAGTCAGCATTCGGGTCGCCTCGGGAGGCTTCCCCGCAGTACACCAAAACCTCCCAGAGGGCTCCTAGACGGCCCAACATCGCCCCAAGGAAGCTCCGAGACGGCCTCAGGCCGCAGACCAGCCAAGCAGGGCCCGCAGTACAGCACCAGACCCATTCATTCAAGGAGGCCCTATGACTGCGAACATGACCCCGACAAGGCCACACACAGGCTCTGGAGCCCCCGCACGGCAAGACGGGTCGAGCAACGTTGCGATCCGTTCACAGTGCGTGTGCACTGCCGGCGAAGGGCCTAAGATGGGCTCCAGAAGGCTTTGGGACAGCCTTCAAGCTGCTCCTCTTCCCACTTCTCCCCTTCCACCACATCCAGTTGTTCTGGATCCTCCTCCTCCTCCTCCTCCTCATCCTCCTCCTCCTCCTACTCCTCCTCCTCCTCCTCCGCAGCATCATCAGCGTCATCAGCGTCATCAGCGTCATCAGCGTCATCAGCGTCATCAGCGTAATCAGCGTCATCAGCGTCATCAGCGTCATCATCATCATCATCATCAGCATCATCATCATCATCATCATCATCATCATCATCATCATCATCATCATCATCATCATCATCATCATCATCATCATCATCATCATCAGCATCATCATCATCATCAGCAACATCATCAGCAGCAGCAGCATCAACATCATCATCACCACCACCATCATCATCGTCATCAGCAGCATCAGCAGCATCCTCAGCATCATCATCATCAGCATCATCATCAGCAACAGCATCATCATCATCATCAGCAGCGTCATCATCATCATCATCATCATCATTATCATCATCATCATCATCATCATCATCATCATCATCATCAGCATCAGCATCAGCATCAGCATCAGCATCAGCATCAGCATCAGCATCATCATCATCATCATCATCATCATCATCATCATCATCATCATCATCATCATGAGAGCCTCCCATGCCATCTTGCTGCCTCTTGCGAATCGACTCCAACCGGCGCTACTCGACTCTAAATTTACTCTAATCGACGCGAGTCTGCGCTTCCTCATCGACTACCTGACGCTAGCGCGCGCCAATGTATTCAAAAACTACATTATGAGTCGTGCAAGGCTCCTATGATTTGCTACCGAATCATCCCCCTCACCCTGAGAATCGCCGACCCTCCGACGAAGCGGCTCTGGGGGACTGCTTGCAGGCAGGGCGGCACGTGGCACTGCATTTCCTACAACGCCCGGAAGCCCAGTGGATCCCAGACGCCGCCCTGCAAGCCCTCGTCGAGCTGGCCCCCGCTTCATGAGGGCTTCAACGAACCGAAGAACTCGTGGGGCTGGGAGGCGACCTCCTGGGAGGCCTTCGAGGGCGCGGACAAAGGCCTCCTGGGCCAGCGGAGGGGGCCGCTGAGCCAGACGAGGCGGGACCAGACTGAGCCGGACCGAGCTGGAACAGGCTGCATCGGCACCGGCGAACTACCGGGGCCGATGCCGAATTCGACCTCCCTGGGGTTGCAGCATCAATCAGGGGAGGGAGGGAGGGAGGGAGGGAGGGATATAGGGGTGTTACGATGCTCCCTATTGTTCGCAACCATCGGGAAGACGTGTCCCAATGCTGACACGCTCTTCTCCACGGGCGCATTCAGGTAGTCACGTGGGGTCCGGTGCTGCCTGGGGCTCCCACGTCCTCGGCGGAGTTAGGCGAGGTACAGTCGGACCTAGGCCAGAAGAACATCCCTCATCAACATGAGACCCTCCGTCGGCCAAAATAGACAGAACATCCGCAACCCCCCAGGGTGCACAAGACCACCCAACAAGCACGAAGAACACTAGGGCACCCTCCCAGAACCGACCTCGATCTTCTACCCTGGTCCGGCAGTAGACCCACCGTGGGCCATCCTGTGCCAAGGATGGCCGACGACTGCTCTGCCCTCTGGAGGCGGGCCCTCCTCGCCAGACGGCGGGCGAGGGGCAGGCGCAGCTCTTTTCCGCGGTGCCTCCGCCGCAGCCCACGGCGCTCCGGCGCAGCGCCCCCACGAGCGCCATGTGCCGCTCGAGCCCGTTCAGGCCCGGCCTGGGGGGCGCCGGCGGCCCGGGGGGCTGGGGCCCGGGGGCCCGGGGGCCGTTCAGCTCGAGGGGCCCGGGGGCGCCCTGCGGCCCGCTGGGCCCGAGGGCGATGCCCTCGGTGAGCTCGGCGCCGGCGCGGGCGAGGCCCGCGGCCACCTCCCGCAGCAGGCGGGGGTCGCGCCCCGCGCGGGCCGCCGACAGCGACGCGACGCGGACCAGCACGCCGCGCGCAGTCAAGGCCTCGGCCATCGAGCGCAGGGGCGGCGCGGTCGCGGACTCGACCACGGCGTCCAGGCGCAGGACACCCAGGCTGGGGAACTTCGCGAGCAGCACCTCCGCCGCGCGCTCCCCGGGGTGCACCCACGCGGGCTCCTCGTAGTGCCCGGGGCCCAGCGCTAGGTGCAGGTACGCCACGCCAGGCAGCGCGGGGAACGCGGCCTCGAAGCGGGAGAAGGTCATGCCGACGACCCGCGAGTGGTAGAACACCTCCGCCATGAGGACCACGACGCCCACCGCCGCGAGGCGAGCAGGCATCATCGCGAACGCCCGCGCGGTGGGCAGCACGTACCGCAGCTCCAGCTGGCGGCAGCGGCAGGGCAGGGCCGCCAGCACCGGTGCCAGCCGCTCGGGCGTGGGGCCGTCGCTGCAGAAGCCGTCCACGCGCAGCGCCTCGAGATCCCGCCCCGCCACGCGCAGCAGGCCGCAGAGGTGCCCGATCTCGTCGCTGTCGAGCTGGTCGAGGCCGAGAAAACGCAACGGCCACCGGGAGAGCGCCGCGGCGGCCACCGCCGAGAGCTGCGGCACCCCGCCGGCCGCCACGATGCTCACGGCCGCGCACCCGCCAAAGGGCAGCAACCTCGCCAGTCGCGCAGGGAGCCCGGGCACCACCTGGTCCCGCGAGGCCGCGAAGCGCGCACGCAGGGGCTGTGCCCCGCAGGGCGCCTGGGCGCAGAGCTCTGCGTCGAGCACCAGCAGCTCTTCGTCGACGTCGGCGAAGAGGACCTCCGCCTCCACCGCGCAGGCGCCCTCCACCGCAGCCAGCGCCGCCGCACGCGCCCGCGTGCTGGCCCGCGCGAGGCCGATCAGGACCGATGACCCTCAAAACGCGTGTCAGCGTGAGCGTGTGCTTTTCCACCGGACCCCCCCGATGCATCGGTGCGACTGAACGCAGCAAACACACGCACACACGCACACACTTTTGGCGTAACGGCCACGCGCACGGCGGCGCGGCACACACGCACACAAACACGCACGCACGCACGCAAACACGCACAGACACACACGCACACACACAGACACAAGCACGCAAACGCACACGCACACGCACAAGCACGCGCACACGCAAATACGCACACACAGGCACAGGCACAAGCACAGGCACAGGCACAAACACAGACACGACAGACACGGACATAGACACAGACACACACACACACACACACACATCTACATACATTATATATATATATAAAAGTAGAACCATCGCGCGCTTCTCGCGCGCTCAATGTCTAGCTGGGATTGATCGGCTAACTCATGTAATCTCATTTTGGAGTCCCGAAACGGTGCGGTGACAGACCGTGCGGTGACCTCGAACCCCCCCAAGATCTCACCGCACGGTCCGTCACCGCACGTCCTCGGAGAACGACCCGAGTCCCAAAACTGTGCGGTGACCCCGAATCCCCACTGGCTCACCGCACGGTGTGGTCACCACCCCATTTGGGGGCCCCCGACTCATTTTGGTTGCTTCTTGCGTCCAGGGACTCCCTTGGAGGCCCTGCGCAAGCCTCGGAATCGTATAGAAGGGGAAGTGCGGAGACGCAGAACTCATTAATTTCGTTTAGATATTCAACGATTTGGGGCCCTCGAAGGCTTCCTGGGTTCTTTTTTGGGAGGTGAGGGGGGTCTGAATTGTTGTGGTCTGTTGTGCAAGAGAAAAAAAGGAATTGTGGGATTCCAATTTTTGTTTCAATTCCTCGGCGCTGTTCGGCGCTGTTTTTTGTGTGCCTCGCGGGTTTTGTTAGCCGGGCCCCTCAGGGGTGTGGGATCTTCCGGACCCCCTGGGGGTTCTGGAGGCCTCCTGGAGGCCTGGAGAGCCGTCGGAAGGGTGTCTCGGGCTGCGCGGGAGCGTGTTGGGCCGTTCTTTACGTTCTGGGGGCTCCTTGGGGTCGTCTTGGGCTGTCCTTGGGCGTCTTGGGGGCCCCCCAGGAAGCCGGGAGGCGTGGTACCGGCCAGATGTCAGGGGAAGTGTGGGATCTCCGAGTAGGAGTCCACTTTGAAAAAAAGGGGGGCCGGGGTACCGGGCGCCTCTTCGGCAATTTTGGGGGTTTCTTGGCCCGTCTTGGACCCGTCCTGGGAGTCTTTTGGGCGGTCTTGGGGCGGTCTTGAACCGTTAAAAACTAGAAAACGCGAGAAGGCCAAAAACATAGCAACAAAAACAATCACAATCTACGATTTTGACCTCTTCGGGCTGACCCCCCGGTTTTGCGCCAGCTGC